GGAGGGCGGACGGATAGGGGCAGAGCTCTCTCTAATGGGAGTGGATGCAGAGAACAGGCGGCTGGGTTTATGGACTTAATAGCAGGAGAGTAGGAAATTCTGCACTTGACTGCTTCTGTTTTTTCAGGACACTGTCAAACAAGGTCATCATTCAAGGAGTGGGGAGAAAGGCTATGGGAAATTCAGGAGTGCCTTCTGGACCACAGAGGAAGCCCAGTTTTATGAGGTGATAAAGAGTATCTATGTCAAATCAATGTCCAGATCCCACTTTGTGGTACAGCGCTAGAGGCTTTCCCTGCAAAGTGGGAGCGAGGTGAAAACGGCCACCGTGATTATTCCCGTTTTACAGAGGAGGCCTAAAAAGGCCTAAGCAATGCCCCTCCCCCCCCCGCCCCCGCCACCCTGGGGTGCTGAGAAGTGGTGATGCCAGGTTTTGCTGGGTCTGTGTGCCCACCAAACCTGGTAGCCACGCTCTGGAACCCCGGAAGCCCTGAATGAGCAGCAATAAGGACTCAGCACAGGTGAGATCACTTCCTACACTTCTTTCCATCAACACTTGCCCAGCCAGAGGTCACTAGGTCACCGCGCCTGATCGGCCCAGAGGCTTCAGGCCACATGGGAGGATGACCTTGTGAGCCATCAGACATGTGTGTGCGTGCGTGCATGCGCCTGTGTCTGTGTGCGCATGCAGGACGGAAAGTGGCGCAAACATGCATCAGAATTCCCCGGGCTCTAGTTCAAAGCCATTCTCTGAAGTGCAGGGGAGTCGGTTTGTCTCAGAACACTAACGTATTTTGGAGAAGATAAAGAAATTTTAAAGGTAAGCCATCTCTCATCCTCTTTCTTCATTCGAAGGGTCAGAAAAGTGGTATTTCTGGCATGGGTTAGAGGCAGAACTCTATAAATACAAAGCCATTAAATCCCATGCAGTGGGAACCTGATCGGAGCCTCCTTTTAATTTCCTGACATGAGCTGGCCACTAACCCAATTACCCAGAATCCCCGGAGGAGCCCTCTGCCTTCCCAATGAGCACAAAGAGAGGGAGAGTGTATTGCACGGATGTCAGCCTAGCTTTCACTGAAATCAAATATCTTTTAGAAAACACTTGGGGAAAGACAGGCAGGGGCCGTGGGGAGGAGGGAATGGAGTGGGACTGAGAGGCTGGTGGCTGCAGGGAGGTGAAGTGAGGTGAGGAGAAGTTTGCAGGGGCAAGCTATCCAGGGAGAGTTGCTACAAACCCGGAGCTGGACTAGGGTCTTGGGGGCAGAGGGGCTGTGAAATGCGGCGCATGTTTTTCCAGGCTCTGCTGGCTTAGAACTTGCCAGCCCATGCCCTAGCTAGGCTGGGAAGCCCGCCGAAAGGGGAGGGCTTCTCCACTGGCTTCCTAGGGGAACCCTCATCCTGGATTTAGACCCTGGGGTCTAACCCAAGACAGATGCCACCTCCAAGTTTCCCACCAGCGAATCTGTGCAGTGGGTGGGCCGCTGAAAAGTTGAGCACTAACAGGACCGTCTTGGAGTCAAATACTCTTAACAATACACCCAGAGAGCTGACATCTTTAAAGCAACTGCATGGTGGATTTCACCAAAGGGTTGTCCCTTGTGGTCCCCACCTGGACCTGCTGATGGAGAGCCCCTTTTGACACCTGTGCTCTACAGGAGAGGAAACGGCGACCCAGGAGCATAAGAATCCACAGCAGGAATCCCCCAGAGCCAGGGGGAGGACACAGGCACAACTCCTCACCGGTGCAGGTTTTGTATTCAATTCTTCATAAAGACAATAATCACTCCCCCCTCCCCCCAAATACAGATTTTCATATACGGGCTTGCTTAAAGCAAGACGGACCCCTGGACGTCCCACCCTCATTGATTCCAGAGCCCTCGGCAGCTTCCAGGTGGAGGCTGAGCCGATGGAAGCCATGCCTGACCTCTCCCCCACATTTGCTAGACCCCCGAATCACACAGCGGCCTCTCCGGTTACTCTGCTTGAGAAACGTAAAGCTGTGAAAGGCCTCGGGAGCTGCCGCACAGAAGCGGGGAAACAGTGTTCAGGTGTGTGGGGGACATGGGGAGGAACGGGGTGGGGCTGGCATCCGTATTCTCTTTCCCAGCTCCCCCCAAGACCCAGAACCCCGCCCCTATAACCCCCCTCCCAGGCCTGAGGCCCACTGTGGAACCTTAAATGGGGGGGGCAGCCCTGGGGAAGGCTGGAGTTTGATGCTCACAGGCAGGTCAGAGCCAGAGTGAAGACAGGAGGAGGCAGGGAGCCGCGCTGCTCCCAGGAGCCTGAGCTCCTGCACATGAAGGGGGGCCACCCAAACAAAAGCAGGAGCCGGGGCAGCTGCCAAGAGCCCCTGCCTGGCAGGGACACAGGCTCCGCAACGAGGCCCATGCCTCCTAAGGGGGCCGGTCCCCACAGAGCTCCAGGCCCCAGCTCTGTGCTGCGGGATGAAGACTAAGTGCAGGCGCTCTGCTTTGTCCACGCCGGGAGCCTTTGTGGCACCGTCCCCGCTGGGTTTAGGGCTGCCAGCACCGGGCATGGTGTGTGTGGGCACGGGGGGGCGGGGGGGGGCGGGGGGGGGAGTGTGCTGGTGGCCGCCCCTTCCTCCTACAGGTAGAGCCCCAACTCCAGTCCCCTCCAGGCTGCACCCTGCAGGATTCCCTGCCTGCTCCTGACAAGAGCCCCAGATGCCCCGAGCTGCCACCCTAATTAGAAGCCATCACGTACCCTGTTCTGTGTCCGGCGTACGTCCTGGACCAACCACAGGGCTCTTTACAGCAGAGCGGTCAAGGTTGGTGCCCACCGTGCACGCTGCCCCGCCTACCCACCGGGCAGGGGGCCTGGGGTGTGAAGCCTCCCCTCTTCCTGACCCACCCCTGTGGGGCAGACACAGGGGAGCTCCAGGCTGTGGCCCCACAACCCCCAAACCAGCTGTGTGGCTGAGGGTGGGACAGTCCTCTCTCCCCAACCCTACGGAACTCAACTTGGTCACCCTTAAAATTCAGGGGTACACTGAGAGCGATGCAGCGTCCTTCTGCTCTAAGTCCCTCAGATGCCGTAAAGTAAGCAAAGAGGCCACCGGACAGTGGGTCCCCGGCCTGACCCTGTGCCCTCTCAGCCAGCTCCCCAGAACAAGGTGGCAGATCCCAGCCTCCCAGCCTTAAGAGCAAGGAGCCTCTTTGAGGCTCGGATACCCTGAGGTTGGTTCCCAACAGCACACAGAGGGGGAGTCGGCAGACCAGCACTGAAGCACACTTCTGAGGGCTTCTGTGCCTCAGTGTCCTCACCTGTGAACCCCAGGATGCTCTGGAGGAGCAGAAAATGCCTGGTGTTGGAGGCAGGGGGCGCTGTTCAGGCACTCACTTGGGTCACACTCTACGCAGGGGATTTGTGTCGAGTCCAAATGAACCAACACAGTCTTTCGGGTTTAATACAGCCCATTTTTCATCTAGAGAAGAGGGCTGTTTCCCCACTTGATCCCCCAATGGAGTTAAAAGGGGTTGACTTTTCCATCTCAAAGAGGTTAAAAGAAGTGACTCATGAGAAACGCCTTTAAAGGGCTGTGTGCTGTGTAGACACAGGGTAATTCAGGAACTGTTTCCAGAGCTTCTGTTTTACGGGTGTAGACACTGGGCTGAGCTGAAGCGAAGAGGGGGGCCCCCATTTCCAGAGCACAAGAAGGTCCAAGTCACCCACTGACAAAGCACCTTAAATGTGGATCCTCTTCCCCAGCTGGTGCCGGAGAGGAGAATGGGAGGGTGCCCCTGTGGCCGGACTAGGCTTCCAGAAACTCTTCACTAGTAAGGAGCTGCATTCCAGTCCTGCCCTGCCTCTTCTCTCCCAGCCCCTCCCTCCCCCCATCACCCCTCCACCAGCCCACACCTCCCTTCCTGCCTCCTTCCGCTTCTGGGAGGATCCCGGGGTCCAGGATCATAAAAGCTGATCTGTAACAATTTCCGCTCACTCCCCGGGAAAGCTAGGGAAGGGAAGAAACACCCAGCACACACACAACACCCATCCCCAAAAGTGGTGCGCGGAGGAGTCGTCGGCCTGAGCGGATCCACAGGGACGGTGAGGACCAGGAGACCTAGCTGGAACAGCGCCATCCACATCCTGAGAGGCACGCGGCATTTTAAATGTCCCAGTGGCCACAGTACAGAAGGTAAAAAGAAGAATGTGATATGTTCTGTTTAACCCCATACATCCAAAATGTTACCATCTCAACATGCAGTCATTATTCAAAACCTGTTCCTACATGAGTTCACACTCCTGTTATAATCCTAGCAAGCCTTTGCAGTCAGACGTGTATTTCACACGCAGAACCCGAGGCTCACGCTGCCACGAGGGACAGCGCAGCTCTAGAGGAGAGAGAAAGGCCAAGGGAAGAGAAAGGAAAGGGGAGTGAGAGGACGGTGAGACGGGGACCTGGAAGGGGCAAAACATCCGCAAGGTGATAGCAGTGTGCCGCCTGCCCGCCCACCCACTGGGAAGCAGGTGAAGAGCTCACCACCTGTCACTCCGGACCCTAATGTCTCCGACCTTGGCGCCCCCGAGCTCCATGGCTCCTGAGAGGTAAGAGAGCCTCTCAAGCCTGCCCCCCTCTCCCAGGGTGCAGGGAGCTTGCCCCAAAAGGAGGACCTTCTGCTGAGCACCAGGCCAGTTTCCCAGGACCCACATGGGGTCCCTAATGGAGAACTTCCAACTTCTGCCTTCTCGATACCCCATGTCTCCTGCAGGAGTAGAGAGCTAAGCAGGAGCTGGAGGCTGCAACCTGCTTGCAGGGCTTGTGAGAGAGGATGCGCAGGCACTCCCGGGGGCGGCGGCTTAGCCTCGCATGCCCAGGAGGACTCCCAGAGTCCGGGCCCCCATGGAATCATGTGCGCGTGCCCTGGCCTGGGGAAGTCCGCAGTGTGTGTGCAGGCACCTCCCCAGGGGTCTGAGACGCCCAGTGGGAAAGGCCTCGCCGGAACTCCCTCCTCAGAGCCTCCAGGGCGTCTTACCTTCCTTCAGCATCCCCACTTTGAGGCATTTCATGAAGCGGCAGGCCTGGCAGGACTTGCGCCTCCGTTTCGTGATCTCGCACTCGTTGGTGGCCGGGCAGCTGTACTCGATGTTCCCTGCAACCAGACACAGACAGGGTCGCCAAGTGCCAGCCAGGCCCCCACCCCTACCCCCGCTGGCCAAAGACCTGCGCTGCCCCCACGCTGAGGTTCCAGCAGGGCAGCAGCTCTCAAAGGAGGCACTTGTCAAAATGTTCCCAGCACTCTCAAATGTAAAGACCCTGGTTCCCGAGGTCTGGGTGGGTCGGGCAGCCAGAGCTTTGAAGAAGGATCAGCCACTGGGCTCGGACATCAAAACTCATGGAGGGGCTGTCCCCAGGCTTCACTGGGCCTCAGTCTCCCCATGTGGCACAGGGGGACCATTTTGTATGGGATTTTCTGAGAACATGCAGGAGCCAGGTTCCACCTCTGATGAAGTGCTTCACAGCATTGGAGCCACTGAGCCCCCGTGACGAAGCGCCTGACTGTGTGCTGCGTACTCGCAATGGCGCGGTGAGTGCTCGCGTCCCCATGTTGTACTGGTGAGGAAACTGAGGCTCAAAGAGGCTGATGTGCCCAGGATGCCTTAGATCTCCCCCTCTCTCTCTCTCTCAAGTCCAGGTGGCCCAAACCTTTCCCCACCACTTCTCCTGCAGAGAGCAGGGCTGGAGGTCAACCTCCGTGCTGGATGGAGGCTGGGAGGGGACAGGAGGGAAGGTATGACGATTCTGTGTGCTCCTCTCCTCTGTCACCTACCCCTAACCATGTCTTAGGTCACTCGGGCTTGCGTGGCCTCTTGGGAAATAATTGCAACACTCACATAAGCATGGTAACATTTAAAAGATCAATGGAAAAGAAGAAAAGCCATACATACACCGATTTATGCCAGTCTACCCTGGCTTAGAAGCTCTTGGAGGCTGGCCCTGCCCGTGCCTCACCTCGGCCCTGTCTCCACCTCAGCATCCCTGTTGCTCCGAACAAGTGTCAGCGCCTGGAACTCAGCCATCTGGGCTCCCAGGCCTCGGTCCCCACTGCTCGGAACAAGCACCATTCCGCTCCCTGCACCTCTTCGCCTGGTCTGTGTGCACCTCCAGGCCCCACATAGGCAGGCGTTCCTTCTCCACGCCATCACCTGTGTGCAACTGTCTCCTCCTACACCAGCTCCTCTCCGCAGTTCAAGCGCCTGGCACACGGCAGGTGCTCAGTGCGCCCTGGGAGCTAACACTAACCAGTCCTTTCTACGAAGCAGCCACAGTTCTGCTTTCCGTACCCGGAAACTTTCATTTTCCCAACAACCCTGGAAGTAAATGTCTTTCTCTCCATCTTACAGATGAGCAAGGTGAGTCGAGTCTAGGAGGCAGAGCAAGGACTTGAACCCAAGCGGTTTGGTTCGGTGTCTGCTCTGAACCACTGCAGGCAGCTCCCAGGGCCCGCCCACTGCGGCCCTGGGCAACTCTGCCACCTCGGGATGCCACACACACGCCGCTAACTTCCCACGTTCTCTGGTCACGGCGGCGCAGCCAGGCTGTCATGCCTCGAAGGAGGGTGGGTCCAGGTTTCTCAGGCCCGCTGTCCCAGCGGAGGGTCAGTCAGCGTCTGCCGATCTGACACCGGTGTCCTCTCAGGAGGAGAGGACAGAGTGTACACAAGAACAAGCCATAGTCTCGACCCTCTGTGTGTGTGTGTGTGTGCGTGTGTGTGTGTGTGGAGGAGGAGGAGAGAGAGAAAGAGGGAGATGGAGAGATACCATATTTCTAATTTTATTTATTTATTTCTTTGTTCCTTTCAATTTGTTTTATGGCCCCCGAGGCTGACTGCCAGCAAAGCCAGGCTGGTAGCCTTGTAATTTCTGTAAGAGCCTTCTCGATAAAGCGATGAGATTAATTCATCAGAATTCCTGGGGTCCCCTGGGAGCTCAGGAGTGCGGAGAGGCATCTGTCTCTCTCTCTCTCACACACACACACCATCACCACCACCCCAAGCTCAGGAGTGGCAGGTTAGGGGGCGGGCTCTCCTAGGATGGGCACGTGGTCAACGGCCAGCATAAGTTCAGGGTTCTACCCTGGAAGTGTGCCCAGGACAGACATGTGCGGACTCCACCTCAGGCAAGTCACCTGACCTCCCTGGGCCCCAGTCTCCACATCTGTTAAATGGGCACAGTATGCTCCTGTGCCACAGAATCGTGTGGATTCGGTGACAGCACATAAAGGGCTTAGTGCCGTGGGTGTACTGGCACACACGCAGCCCAGGCTACTATGCTTATTTTTACGTCTAGGCAGCGCTGCCAGGGCACAACGAGCCAGAAGACAAGACTCCTGGGGAAATCTAGCCACCCCTGCAGACCCTTAAGGACATTAAGATGGGCCTTCCAGAACTCCCTCTCAGAGTGGATGCCGTGCGTGCCGTGGGAGGGAGGCAGGAACATCCAGAACCTGACCTGGACTTCTGTATGACCTTGAGGCAGAGGGCAAATCCCTACCCTCAACCCTCTTTGACCCTGTGCCCCAGGAGAAGGGCGCCCCCACCAGTTCGCTGTCCTTGAACTACAGCAAGGAACAGGGGTCCTCTCTCGGGGCTCCGGGAGGGGGCTGCAGGCTGACGGCAGAGCCTCTGTGGGCTGGGCTGGTGGTCCCTCGGCTCCGCTCCCTGCTTCATGTCACTCCTGGAGGACGGAGACTGTGCCTTCCTTCCCTGCCGGCCCACTGCCCTCGGCTCACCTCCCTCCCCTCCAGCTTCCCCACTCGCCGGATGAGCTCATTCCTGCCCCTGGCTGCAGCTGTCACGGAGTTGGCAAGGATGGGCAGCCAGACTCACTGCCTGTGCTTCACACCCTCATATACACCTACCGCTGCTTTCTCACGCTTCCTCAAACTGAACCCATCCTCATCAAGCCTGGACGACTTACTGTGTTCCTGACCTCGCAAAGGGGCCACTGGCCACCGCACCGCCTAGGCCAGACACTGAGGTGGCACCCTGAACACTTCTAAGGTCCTTTTTATCCCACATCCCTGATATTTCCTCCCTCCTCCCCTTCTGCCTCAGCTAGTTTCCAGTCTCAGCATCTCTTGCCTCGCCTCTAACGTGCTAGACTCCTCTGCCCCACCCCCGCTCCTACCCTGCCTCGGGGGGTCATTAATAACTTCCCTGTGCAAAATCCCTCCATGGACCTCCAGTTCATCATGGCACACTGAACACACATGTCTGTGGACCTTCCCAGAAGCCCACTAAAGGGCAGACCAGGGGTGAGAACTCTCACAGAAAAAGGGAGGGAGCAGAAACCAAAGTCGCTAACAAGGCGGCTTCAGACGAGAAGTGAGCCCTTGGTTCTGCAGAACTTCAGAGAGCCTCAGGCATTGAATACTCAAGACTCAGCAGAAGATGGAGTGAGGTGTGGGGCGGGAAACGAGAGTTTGCTGGAAGTCTGTACTTAAGCAGTGCTTATCTGCCAGTCCATGTGGCCAGCATGTGTCTCCCCACGACCGGCGCAGGAGAAGCCAGCCTTGTCCCTGGAGAATAGATGCAAGCGAAGTCTGGACCCAGGGACCCCAGCAGAGGGCAGAAGGGGAGTCGAAGCTGAAGAGAGGGAGACTGAATATTGCACACCAAACAGAGAGACCACCCAGCCCACCCCCAAGCCCACTCCCAGATTTCTAGCAGCCAGAGGCACACTCCACCCGCCCCCAACCTGAAGATCGGAGTTTATAGGATTCTCCTCTGGGAGAATGAACAGCCCAGCTGGGAAAGATAGCCAAGGGGCTGTGCCTTGTACGGTTTTTACCCCTGTTGCCATTTCAGACCGTCAGGATTTCAAGTGCATCTATGGAAAGCCTTAATGTGAAAGCCCAACCAAAACAAATGGGGGAGAAGCGTGCGGAGGAAACAGGGCAGACCGGGAAGTGGAAACACACCTCCAGGAACAGCGATCAGCACGCTATTGGCCTGAGAAGACCAGACACTGCGTCCATAAGACAAGAACAGTGAGCAAAATAAAGAAAGTATAAAGTGGGGCTCATAGGAATTAAAAGTATGAAAGCCACAAAAAAGTCAGAAGAATTGTCTAAGGAGCTACTTTCTCTAGAAAAGACCAAAAACCAAAGAGATGGACAATAGGCTGGAAAAGACGTAAGAATCAGAAGATGGATCCGGGAAGCTCCACACCCAACCATCAGGAGTTTCCGAAAGAGAAAATGCTGGAGAGGAAGTTATCACAAAGGGAGAAGGGAAGGCAGGGAGGGAGGAAAGATGAAAATTTCTAAAGAATATGAGTGTCCGGACCAACGGGCCTGCTGAGGAGAGCCCAGAGGAATAAATGAGAAAAGACCTGGACAACATTGTAGAGGTGGAGAACAAATTAGCTGCCCGCTCGGGGAGGGGGAGAGGGCGGCGGTGCGGCTGTTAAAGAGCGGTGCCCGGGGGCCCAGGTTATGGGCCTGCTGTGGGTCTTCGCTGTGGTGGTTGGTGGTCACGGGAATCTCAGTGGTGAAACTGCGTAGAAACACACACACACACACACAAGCCTGCACAGCTGGTGAACTCTGAGTAAGCGGGTGGATTCTATCAACGCCAATGTCCTGGCTGAGACAATACGCTGTCCTTACATGAGATGGGGAGGCAAGGGAAAGGTGTGGAATTTGCATATGTGGGATTTCTCTGTACTATTTCTTCCAACCACCTGGGGACCTACAATCACACCAAAACAAAACCATGAAATTAATAATAAATCATTAAAAAGGCCTAAAACACACAACAGAGATTTTTTTATCATAAAATTTCAACCATGAGGACAAAAAAGACCCTAAGAACTTGCAGAGGGAGCAAGAAAGAAGTCGAGTGCACGGGGCCAGGAGTGAGGTCGGCCACCACATCGCAGGCCACAAGGGAACAGCTCTCCGAGCGCATGCGCGCGCGCACACACACACACACACACACACACACAGTGTGCACGTACGCACTGCTCTTTAGTGCTACGTGGCACACTCCCCCGACTTCATTCATCTATCACTCTTGTCTGCTTCATTCTCAGCAGTTTCTCTGCACCTAGAACCATGTCTGGAAAGGAGTGAGGCCTCTACATACAT